CCCCCCCCCCACCCCCCCCCCACACACACACACAGTGGAATTCACCGATTTGTTTATTTTGTTTCGTTCTCTCCTCCCAACACTCCATTTCCTCCCTCTGCGAGTTTCGCCCTCCATTTCACGAAGAGAAATCTGTTAGATCAGAAAGTGCACCAAAAAAATATTGTGGATAAGGCATGGGACAAAATTATTGAGAAGATGAGATTAACGAAAGATGAAGACATAGAGTTGCAGGTGCCTTCTAAGATAGAACCAAAAGGGTTTGCCGGTGCCTTAAAAAAAACCATCAGATAAAGTGGGGTAAATCATGGTGCTTACAAAATGGAGAATTATATGAAGACGGTGAAAGGGTTTGGTGGGCTGAGATAATTGTAGCCAGTAAAACTATCTTTTTCCTCTTTGACGTTTCCCCCATATTCCGATATACTTTTTTTCTTGTTTTTGGTGAACTATTTCTGGCCTCTGGGTCTATTTTATGAAATTTTTCAGTGTCTTTCCTCCCCACTCTTTTGCATGTTGAAAAATGAGGAAGAAGGTGGGTTCCTAAATGAGTTATGTGGAAAAGAAGGGGAGGAGGACAAATTGACAGTTGGTGGAGGTGGTGGCGATGGGATGGGGTGGTGTGGTGTGGTCAGGTGGGTAGGGCATGGAGGTGGAAGTAGATAATGGTAGGGGGTGGGAGCAGGGTGTGTAGATGGGGTAGAAGATGATTAGATCCATTTTTGTTTTTCTTTTCGTTTTTTAGTTTTTTTCTTTTTTTTCTTTAAATTTCTTTATTTATTTGCTTTGAATCAAACTAAGGATAAAATGGTTATTTCCTTTGAAACAGTCAATTTAATGTTTTCCGTCCTAATAGAACATGTGAACATTCATTTGAAATATTTGGGACTCCAGGTGCTAGAAATCAACAGTTACCTTCAAAGGTTAGGGACCCCAGGTGGCAGCGTAAGATCATACAAGCATTTATCTCTCCTTAATTTACCCAAAAAATAATTACGTAAGCTTAATTCCTCAATTTATTACTTAACCACACAGGTGGCAGCGCAATATTATACAAGCATTTATGTACTGGCAGGTGTGTTATCTCCTCTTTTGACACTTGAATATGGAATTGTTTCTATTTTTATGTTACTTAAATGTCTTTAGTTGTCCTAGAATTTTGTCTCTCCTGTCGACTGAAACGAGCAACTGCAGAATTTGAGGAAAAAAAATTATTTTCTTTTCTGCTTCTTTGGTGTACATTTTTATTTTTTTATGACGATGCCAGGGTTATACCATTTCTAGCTATATCACAAGGTCTAACGTTTACCTGGTCCTCTCTTAGAGCAGTTCAGATGATCTTGTATTATAACTTGCAAGGACGTTTGATTCAGCTCTCTATAAAATGTTTGGGCGTGTAATGTGTCTCTCATCGTTTGTCTAGTAGGGAACTTCATGGGCAATTATTCCGCCCCAACCTCCAAATGTTTTTCTCTAAAAATGTAAAATTTTGCTTCATGTTTGGCTAAAATAAATTTTATTACTTGTAAGGAATATGTTTTAGAATAAATGATTTTAGTAGTATGAGCTGGAAGTAATTAACTTATTCTCATATTTAACTTATTCTCAAAAAATGAGCAACTCTTTTTACATGACAAGTAAGAAAAAAGTAACTCCTCAAAAATAACTTTTACTTTTAAGCTTAACACCCTCCATGTCATCACAATGTATATATATTTTTGTTTTTAAACATACATTAATAGTGATGGTTCTTGTGAAAAATATTGCTTTATAGTTTATTAAAGTTAGCAATCATATGGAATGTGAACATTTTTTTGGTTGTTCTGGCAGCTTTTAAAGCTTATGTACCAGGCCCCTGCAACTGCTGGTTATCATCAAAGAGCATGGGCCAGGATAGGGAGGATTATAAATCCTCTAATCCAACGCTACGCGCCTTTCCTGAACACTCCAATTACTGCTATTCAGAAATGGTGGTTTAGGTAAAAATCTTCGAGACAAAAGGAAGTTAATGCCTACATATGTGTGTCTTTCCTCTCCGAGACATGTAAATCTCCATTTAGTAAAAGGAGATGGGTTCAGAATCAGATATATACTTGACTAAGATTTTGATATATTACTCTCTACTAATAATCAAAATTGGAACTTGACGTTCGTAGGGTGATCTTGAGGTCTTTGAAGTTTACCGTTTCTTTGTAAGGTGGTTGTCCTTTCAATAGTTCTTATCTTTACTCGAACTGAGCTGATTAGAATGGAGTCTCTTCCAACTTAGTTTTAAAGGTTTGGTTTGTGTTTTGATACTTGCAATTGATTGGAAATAGTAGCGTTGGCATAATGCCATATTCTTGTTTTACAAAAAACAGATACTGATGTAATTTTTTAAATTTTGCAATTTGACAGCACTTTTTTACCTGGTCATGGTTAAATATGGTATTTAAGAGATGATTTCAATTTGATTATAAGGTTTGCATATTGATTACTATTGTCTTTTGGAGTAAACTAGTGTGGGCAAGTGCGATGCACGTGTTGCAGTTTAATTGGGTATTTAATAGTGTTGAGTGATTTGAAGTTATTTTTTTAGTTAATGTTCAAAGATAAAATGTGTCTTGTTTTGGTCCAAACTAATATAGAAAATAATTAGAAGATGTTTAGAAAATTTACCAAATACGGTTCAATATGGATTGCAATAATTGACCTTGTGTATGTTAAAGAATATGAGTTATTGTTAATATAGTTACTAGTATCTGTAACTACTGGTGGTGGTGATAAGAGATTTTTTAATACGATAAATATAGGTAAAAAGGAATTGCTAATCCTAACACACTTTTAATAGGACTACATTCCATATTTTCCAATGTATAAGCTTTTCTTGTCAGGTATTTTGCTCGCTTTCATAAGAATAGCGTGTACTTTGAGAAATGTGTCATTATCAGTTTTGTTAATATACTTTGCTGGAGCTCGTCAAACTTGCAAAGGTACAAAATACAATCAGTTGAGGTACAAACTTAATTTCAATTCTTCACTTACAATGAATCCATGACTCACCCTATATTCACAGATGGTAATTTTCATTAAAACAAGAAGGTTATAGTTGTCCATTTATGGTACTATTATAATGTGTTCGAAAAAGTCAGTATGTTGTCCAAAGAAATATTTTTTAATAACTTTCAAAAACCTTCAACAAAAGAATAAAAAGAGGTTGCATTTGTATCATACGTGCCATCAATTGGTTCATCTACCAGTGCAACAAATATAAATTAGCAACAATATTGGAAGATTTCATTAGTCTATGCTGTATCCAAGACTTCCTTACAGCCATACGTTTAGCAAAGTGGTTGCCTGCCGAAAGAATACCAATGAACAGCTTAACAGGCCCTTCTAGAATAGGCGTAGCCTTCCATCTGTTAGACCAATCAAGATTTCATTGAGGTGCAAAACTGAGGTGTAATGTGGGCAGTGAAGCAGCGAAAACAGAGTGGACATCAATGTTTCCTATGAAAGATAATTCAGTGGCATCTTCAGGTGTGAATCCTTAAAACATTAAATAAATACTTGAGGAAACTATCATATATGACAAGACCATTGATAGTGGAAGTACCATGTTGTTAGAGTTACCAGGATGAATCCAATTATATAGAAATTGACCACAAAATCATACTTTCCATAAATTGACAGGAAATCATGAAATGTAAAAAAACAATCTCACCTCATATTGGCAATTGATAGAGTACTATAAGTGACGAAAAATTACATCGTAAATTTGGACTTTTTTCCATTTGAATGTTCATGTTAGGACGAAGGTTGATGTAGAAAGTATTCCTTGCTGGTAATGTCTAATACCATCTTTCGTCTGTATATAGTCATTTTGTCTGGAGAAACTGATTCAATAGGATATCCAAAAACGAAGCATTCTACGTATTTCAGCAAAAAAACTCCACAGTTTGTCCTATTGAAGAAGAGAAAATTTTTCGTTAGAAAATGTTTCCTATGAAAGATAATTCAATGGCATCTTCAGGTGTGAATCCTTAAAACATTAAATAAATTCTTGAGGAAAGTATCATATATGACAAGACCATTGATAGTGGAAGTACCATGTTGTTAGAGTTACCAGGATGAATCCAATTATATAGAAATTGACCACAAAATCATATTTTCCATAAATTGACAGGAAATCATGAAATGTAAAAAAACAATCTCATCTCATATTGGCAATTGATAGAGTACTATAACTGACGAAAAATTACATCGTAAATTTGGACTTTTTTCCATTTGAATGTTCATGTTAGGACGAAGGTTGACGTAGAAAGTATTCCTTGCTGGTAATGTCTAATACCATCTTTCGTCTGTATATAGTCATTTTGTCTGGAGAAACTGATTCAATAGGATATCCAAAAACGAAGCATTCTACGTATTTCAGCAAAAAAACTCCGCAGTTCGTCCTATGGAAGAAGAGAAAATTTTTCGATAGAATAAATTAGTTATAGAGATAAATATGAAACTAAAGTGAGATGAAAAAGAAATATTTACCTATTATTTGTACAAGGCAGGTAGGGTATATTCTCTACTTGCAACAGTTTGTTTCGATTTTTTTTTTATAACTGGAATGACGGCAACTTCTGATAACAATAATAACTGGACCATATTTAATGTTGCTTTTGCATGATCCATGACTTCTTGTGTGGTGTGAACACTATAGCTACAATCATATATCTAGAATTTCCATTCCCGAAAGCCCACACGGTAAAGATACCAATTGTTACCTGGATAGCAGCATGGAATTAATAAGTAATTACATGTTAATCATGGGCAACCATTTAATGTGAAAATGCCATTTACATATTGTTCTAGACGATGAAAATCTAGTGATTGTTTTTTAGCTGCAACTCCTTCGTTTTTACTTCTATGGAATATCAACTGGGTAGCACATTCATCTTCAAATCCAAAATCAAGAATTGCATATTCTTTTGAAAGACGGGGACAACCTTCTTTGATACGTCACCTCAACAAATTTAGTTCCATGTCAACATTCTAATAAATGAAATAAGGGTGAATGAAATATATTAGATGACGGAATAAATAACTATAAATGAAATATAATAAGTATAATCAATGATGAACTAATTTTACTAACCCTAGTAGTGATATCTTGTGTAACATCCATTATATTTTTCAAAACATCCCTACTATGGATATTTCTACTTCCTTCGTCCAAATATGATCTGCATAAAAATAAGATAAGTTAAATTAGTTTTAGATGAATGACAGTAAAATTTTGATGTCGAAGTTAGATTGTTTACCCTGGTGGATTATATGATACCCAATCTCTAAGAACGACATATTTTTCGAAATCATAATCTTCCAAAGTATAGTTGTCTAGAGCATAACTTGTCGAAGATTTTTGACATTTTTTGTTTTTGGTTACCTTCAACATGTTCAACATCTTTCACTTGTTGAGATGTTGATGCATCCTTTACAATCGCATATTGTTGGGGATGAAGATCTTCTTGGAAGGAAGCCATAATAGCTTCCATATTTGTTTTCCAACCTGATATTGTATTTATCATATTGTTATTTTCTTCATCTATGTAAGATCTCACTGAAATTAAACTTGTATCCACGTAATTCTGTATGTTGGACTGCATGTCTTGAGAGTGTTGTTGTTGTTGCTGAAAGTTGTCTCGTTGCCATTTTTGCTGTTGTTCAAATAACTGCTGTTGGTTGCAGAGAATCACTTCAAAGTGTCTTTCCTGTTGTTCAACAATGTTTGTTTACAAATTGCTGCACAAATCCGATACATCCAATACTACATGTTGTCTATATACGTTGAACATATCCTCCATCTCTTCTCTTGTCACGTAATTGGAGCTAGAACTTGGGCCAAGTCCAGATAGTATGTTTCTAGGGATTTGTTCTGTTATATTGTTGATATCTCTACCTGCAATGACATCTAATACATTATGTTGATTGTCATTTGGTAGTGAAAGAGTTGTATACCATGCTGTTTGCAATTCTTCGTCGGTGGGTGTAAAACTGCAATGACTTGAATCTGCAATTGAAAAGCTCAAATATTTGTTGTAAAAAGACAAAAAAATATAATATTTAGTAAAGAAATATAATTAAATAATTTAATTACATCCTCATTATCCAAAAATTGCTTAACTATATTCTCTATCTAAAATCTATTCTGTTTCCACCTATGCATTCTTGAAGATTACAATGTTTTGTATCCACGTCGTCAATTTTTTTTCCAATCCCTAGGAAAGCTTCATATATCCAATACTGAAATAATTGAATATAAAAATTATAAAATTAAATATAAAGATTATAAAAATTAGATATATAAATTATATTTACATTTGTGAAAAATAAAGAATGCAAAAACTTACCTGAAAGGCAAGTGAATATCCATGCAATGCATATTTACATTCTTTTTGTTGATTTTCTTCTAGTATTTGTGCTCTTTCTAGTTGAGATTTTTGCAGAGAATTTAGCAACACAAAATATGCTTTACGCCCCCCATGGGAAGTGCAGGAAGTCGTTAAGCTACTCAACCATACCCAATGTTCTGTAATCAATATGTTTTTTTGTCGGTTTCAAAACACACTCTACTATCATTTCCAATCCCAATTTAAATTTATCATTTTCGTCTTTGTAGAGATGAAATGATTCATATAGCATATTCATACTAATTCTCTTAACACCATGAAAATATTGGTTTCTAAGTCGATTATTATGGAAGTGAAGATCAACAGATGTGTCGTAACAAGGTAATCCTGTAATATGATAAAACCCTTGTAGACTAAAGCGTGTTAAATGCTTATTTAATTTCACCCAAAGTTCATTCTTTTTGCCAGAATTTATAACTCTCATTATGAACTCGTGAATTAACTTGCTACTACACTGTTGATCTTCTTCTCGTCTATATATAATTCCATCTATGAATGTATGAAAATTACTACATAAAGCATCTTGATCTGAATTGATAAAATCCGTAAAAGATTTTACAAATCTATAATTTGGAAATTGTCCGATTGTTGTTGAAAACTAGTGATCTGTAGATAATGTATATTCCAAAGACATCTGCACAAATTATAAAAATACACAATTCAATCAGTCTGTAAAAATTGTAAAACTACACAGTTATAAAAATATACCGTCAAATCTAATTAAAGTGGACATAATAAAGGCATAAATCGATT